CCCTTACTACTCTCTGAGTAAAGAACCTACCTCTGACATCTGTCCTATATCTATCACCCCTCAATTTAAAGCTATGTCCCCTCGTGCTAGCCATCACCATCCGAGGAAAAAGGCTCCCACTGTCCACCCTATCTAATCCTCTGATCATCTTGTATGTCTCTATCAAGTCACCTCTTAACCTTCTTCTCTCTAACGAAAACAGCCTCAAGACCCTCAGCCTTTCCTCATAAGACCTTCCCTCCATACCAGGCAACATCCTGGTAAATCTCCTCTGCACCCTTTCCAATGCTTCCACATCCTTCCTATAATGCGGTGACCAGAACTGTACGCAATACTCCAAGTGCGGCCGCACCAGAGTTTTGTACAGCTGCAACATGACCTCATGGCTCCGAAACTCAATCCCTCTACCAATAAAACCTAACATACTGTACGCCTTCTATAAGAACAGTATTGAGAAAAACCAAATGACAGATCAAGCCTAATTGTGGAAAACCGTGTGAATGTCTGTTCTACCGAAGAATAGAAAAGCAAAATAGTCCTTAAATGGAAGAGACAGCAGAATGCTGCAGTCCAGAGATCTGGGTGTCTGTGGATCACAAACAGTTGTATGCAAGTACAGCAATTAATCAGGAAAACAAGTGGATTTATACCCCTAATTTTTAAGTCTTGCTGTGATTGTACAAGGCATTGGTGGGAATGACGTCAAATACCATGAACAATGTTGGGAATACATATACATATTTATGGACAATGTGATAAAGAAGAAGATGTAAAACTGTTTGGACACTTTCTGGAATGTAAAGAAATTTTTACAGTGCTAATTATTTGAAAAGTAAGGTCAGGTTTATTGACTATTGTGGTTTACGTGCTAAATACAAAGTCAATTACTTATGAGGAGAAGATAAGTAAAATGTTTAGGAAGATTGGAGATGGGATTTATGGAAATTAATTCCTGGAAAACATGGCTTTTCAAAAGACTATGGGGAATTATGAGTACTGATGATTTTTCTAGCAATCCTTTCTAGTCATGATTGATGTTTTATCTGATCCAGGTGGTGAGCGAGGAAGGAAACCTCAGAAGCTGCACATCTCTCTCATTTAGTCTCTCAGCTGAAGTTATTAGGAACCAGATAGTTTCCAAATATCAGAATGTCTGACTACTTTATAATCCCTGAAAAACTGAACCATTACCACTTCCCAAACACTTGATCCAGCTTCATTGCAATTCAATTTCTGAAGATCTTCCATCCTATGGCTGTCATCAATTGAATTTCATTGACAAGAAGTGGACCATGAGATTCATGAAATTCTACCCTTTCTTTTCAGACCCTTGTTTTTCTTTAAAGTAATCTCTACAGTGATCTTTGTCTTGTTTGAGTGTGTCTTTAAGGGAGTAAAGTTCTTATTCCAGATTATAGCTCAGATGTTATCTAGAGCTCACCACTAGTTTTACAAGTTTGTTGTTTTATAATCAATGAATTATTTTGAAATTTTGTTTGAAAGAAGCCTGGTGAAAGTCTCTTTTATTCTGCGGTGTAGTACAGTCGGGAATTAATGGCTGTTTTGGTGAACAAGTCAATGCATCTACTCAGGTAGTGTAACTGGTGGTGTAATGGGGCTGTACTGTAATTGAGTACTAGCACATTCTTCCCATCACAGTCCTAACAACAGTTGTAACCTCCTTCCTTAAGGAAGGCTATACTTGCATTGGGAACCATTTAAAAGAGGTTCAGGAAGCCAATTCCTGGGATGAAAGGATTATTATATGAGGAAAGATTTGGGCTTGTACCCACTGGAGTTTAGAAAAATGAGTGGTGATCTCATAAAAACACAAGATTTTGATGGAACCTGGCAGGTTAGCTGCTGAGAGGCTGTTTTCTTTCATGAGGCAATCTAGAATAGGGAAACTGTTTAAGAATAGACTCTTCAGTTTATGACAGAGATGAAGAGGAATTTCGTCTGTCAAAAGGTTGTTTATGCTTGGAGAGAGACAGCAAAACAGGCTGGATTATTGAAAATATTAAAGGCTGAGGAGCAGATGTTCATCAAAAAGAGACAGGCAGTGAGATCATTCATAAATTTATTGGATGGTGGAGCATGGTCAATGGGCCCGCTCCTGTTTCTCATGTCATCACTAGTCCATTGTTAACTTTCTGCCTTAATATCAAGAATTCCCTTATCTTTTGTATCATCTGCAAAATTTCTTATTCAGGTCCCTACATCTAATCTGCATCAATGACATAAGTCAAGAATGAAGAACCCAAGATTGAGTCCAGTGCAACTTCACTGGAAACAACCATCCTTTCACACAAACAAACATCCAGTGACCATCATTCACTGCTTCCTGCCATTGAGTCAATTCTGGGTGCAAGTTGTAACATGTGTTTGGATCTCATGAGCTTTACTTTTATGCTCAGTTTGCCTTGTAAGGCCTTTCAAAAGGAACCAAGATGATTACATTCAAGAAAAGGGAATGGGGAAAAAAGCTGAATTGCTGAGGTAAAGTTAATGAAATGGGAGGAGAAGCCTGTAGAGTATAAACTCCAAGACAGGCCAAATAGCCTGTTGTTGTAAGACTTCTTCAGAATTGATAATAGCTAGGAAAATCTGGTATACAAGCCGAAGACAGAGTTTGGGGAAGGGGTGGGGAAAAGAAAAAATTCGAGTGGCTAACTTGGTAATCCTCAACTCCAATTTCCCACCTTATCCCAATAACTCTGCTTTCCATATTGATCAGAAATCTGTAGACACACTACAAGTGCTCATTGACAGAAGAGCTTTTAAATGTTTGATAACAGGATGTTGTATGAAAGTTCTGTGGAGCTGATGTGCTATCAATACGTTCACACTGAGAAGAAACCATTCAGGTGCTCTCACTGTGGGACTGGCTTCAGGGGATCATGTGAACTCACTGTCAACCAGCAAATTCACACTGGTGAGAGAACTGTCATCTGTCCTGTGTGGGAAAAGATTCAAATCAATCATCCACCTCATTGATCATTTTGAAACAAAATCTTTTCAAATTTTGTGATCAGGGATTTAAAAGCAAAATAGACTTGCTGTCCTACAAACCCATGGACAATGGTAAGAAGCTGTTCACCAGTTTTGTGTGCAACGATAGTCACTCAGTCATCTCACTGACTGAGGTGCTTGTGAGTTCACAAGTGATTGCAGGGATTAGATTTTGCTGTTAATCACAGTCAGGACTGAAAATGTTCTGATATTTGGGTTTTGCTTCTGTTGATATTAACAATCCTTGTAACTGGGCTGCAACTTGATATTTTGATACATGGTTAATAATTCACCTGTGGATTTTCCTTTCCCATCTGAGTGTTTAACATCACCTGGCTGAAGCTCAGAAAGAATAATCTGGGAGGGATCATGG